AGGAGTGGTATAACTGGGTCAAATGGTAGGTTCATTTGTAGTGTTTTAAGAGTTCTCCATACTGCTTTCCATAGGGGTTGAACAAGTTTGCAGTCCCACCAGCAGTGAATGAGTGTTCCCCTTTCCCCATGTCCTCTATTTGGTATCATTTGTTCTCTTGACCTTAGGCAGTCTGACTGGGGTAAGATGAAATCTTAAAGTGTTTTAAATTTGTATTTCCCTAATTACTAGTGATGTTGAACACCTTTTAAGGTGCCTCTTAGCCATCTTTATTTCTTCTTTTGAGAACTCTCTATTCAGTTCCTTAGCCCATCTTTTAACTTTCTTGATTTTTTGTTTTTTGAGTTCGTTATGCATTCTAGATGTTAAACCTCTGTCAGATGTGTCTCCGGTGAAGATTTTTCTCCCATTCTGTGGGTTTTCTCTTTACTTCCTTGGTTTCTTCCTTTGATGTATAAAAGCTTTATAGTTTAATGAGCTCCCATTTGTTGATTCTTGACTTTGTTTCCTGGGCAATTGATGTCCAGTTTAGAAAATCCTTTCCTACACCTATATCTTGTAGATTATTACCAATGTTTTCTTCTATCAGTTTCAGAGTTTCAGGCTTCACATTGAGGTCTTTGATCCATTTGAAGTTGACTTTTGTGCAAGGTGAAAGATAGGGGTTTAGTTTCATTCTTCTATAGGCGGAGATCCAGTTTTGCCAGCATGACTTGCTGAACATGCTGTCTTTCCTCCAGTGAATGTTCTTGGTCCCTTTGTCAAATATGAGGTGGATGAAACTCATGTACTTATATTTGGGTCTTCAATTTTGTTCCATTAATCTATGGGTCTATTTTTGTGCCAGTACCATGTTGTGTTTATGAATATAGCTCTGTAATACAGTTTAATATCCAGTATAGTAATCCCCCCAGCATTAGTCTTAGTGCTCAGGGTTACTTTGGCTATCTGAGGTCTTTTCTGCTTCCATATGAATCTTAGGATGTTTTTTCCACTTCTGTGAAAAATGTCATGGGGATTTTGATTGGCATTGCATTGAATCTGTAAATGGTTTTTGGCAGGATGGTTATTTCCACAATATTAATTCTTACAATCCATGAGCATGGGAGGTCCTTCCATCTTCTGATGTCTTCTTCAATCTCTTTCTTTAACGATTTAAAATTTTCATTTTAGAGGTCTTTAATGTCTTTGGTCAGGTTTATTCTGAGATTTTTTTTTCACGGCTATTGTGAAGGGGAGTGTTTTCATGTAGTCTTTCTCTGATTGTTTGTTATTGGTATATAGAAACACTACAAACTTTTGTAGATGAATTTTGTATCCTGCCACATTACTGAACATGTTAATAATTTCTAGGAGTTTTCTGATGGAATTTTTGGCATCTCTTAGATATAATATCATATCATCTGCAAAAAGGGAAAATTTGATCTCTTCTTTTCCAGTTATTACTCATTTAATTTCCTTCTCTTGTCTTATTGCTCTTGCAAGAGTGAGATTTCAAGCACTGTGTTAAAGAGGAGTGGAGATAGTGAACAGCCTTGTCTGGTTCCTGATTTCAATGGGAATGCTTCCAGTTTTTCTCCATTTAGAATGATGTTGGCTGTGGGTTTGTTATATATGGCTTTAATTATGTTGAGGTATATTCCCTCCAGTCCAATCCCCTGTAGGACTTTGATCATAAACACATGACAAATTTTGTCAAAGGCTTTCTCTGCATCTATTGAGATGACCATGT